CACCCCACAGCACATTCCCATCCCCAGGTCACCCCACAGCACATTCCAATCCCCAGGTCATCCCTGAATCAAGCGACTGAAGTCCTAGAGCTGAGTGCTCCCCACTGCTGGGATAGTGCCAGGAATACTCTACAACATCCCTTCCCGCTGCTCCTATAAATAGGTGGTGAAGACTTGACAGGAGGAAAAGACTCTGGAGAAAGTACAGTTGGAATCTTTCATCCTGAGATACTCAGGGAACAGCAGCACTTAAAACCACAAAAAACTTGGGATGCCACTGGAAGAGAAAAGGGGGAAAAGCCTGAAAAGGACTTAAAAGGACTTTGGGTAAGGACTTGGAGGGACAGGACAAGAGGGAATGGATTCACACTGCCACAGGGCAGGGTTAGATGGGATATTGGGAAGAAGAGCAGCACAAGGATGTGGAGCTGCTGCAGAGAGTCCAGAGGAGGCCCCGGAGCTGCTGCCAGGGCTGGAGCCCCTCTGCTCTGGAGCCAGGCTGGGAGAGCTGGGGGGGTTCCCCTGGAGAAGAGAAGGCTGCAGGGAGAGCTGAGAGCCCCTTTTAGGGCCTGAAGGGGCTCCAGGAGAGCTGGAGAGGGACTGGGGACAAGGCATGGAGGGACAGGACACAGGGAATGGCTTCCCACTGCCAGGGTTAGATGGGATATTGGGAAGGAATTGTTGGCTGTGAGGGTGGGGAGGCCCTGGCACAGGTTGCCCAGAGAAGCTGTGGCTGCCCCTGGATCCCTGGAAGTGTCCAAGGCCAGGTTGGAGCAACCTGGGCTAGTGGAAGGTGTCCCTGCCTATGCCAGGGGGGTGGAATGAGATGGTCTTTAAGTTCCCTTCCAACCCAAACCATTCCATGATTCCATGATCATTGTCACCAACATCTGCAAGCACTGCACAGCAGAGGACAAAACCAAGATCCAAACCATCGGGACACACGCTCCCATCTCACAGGAATTAGTCAAAATATTCCAAGGGGGTTTTAACAAACTGCTGAGGTACCACAGAAACTGCTGGGAAAAAAAATGCCAGGGTAGGATGGCAGCAAACACCAGCAGCACCTGAAGGTGCCCAGACACCACGTCCTGGCACAGCACAGCTTGGCACAGGATCCCTCCCCAGGCAGGTTATAAACCCCACCGTGGGCACAAGGCTGGAGCAAATCACAGCCTTCTGGCAAAATCCAACTGTCCCACTTACACCAGCTTTAGGAAAACAAAACCACCATGGATTCAAGCTTGGCAGGAAAAAAGAAGGAATCAAGACCAGAAGTTCCCAAAATCGGTATCTTGGAGCCTTTTTCTGTGTCTTTTCCCAGTGATCTGTCAATGTATCAGCTCATCTTTTTTAAATATATTGACTGAGGCAAAAGTGATTTTCCAGCCTCTTCTCCAACGGGGAACTTTTAAGGTTTATCTCTGCTTCAAATTAAAAGAGGTAAAACCCACAGATTTTTTAAAAAACCACCTTCTCCTCTCTCCATATGAATTTATTATAATACTTTTCAAGCTCAGAAATGGAGCTGGGGAAGCTGTGGCTGCCCCATCCCTGGAAGTGTCCAAGGTCAGGTTGGACTTGGAGCAAGTGGGATAGTGGAAGGTGTCCCTGCCCATGGTAAGGGGTGGAACTGGATGGTCTTTAAGGTCCCTTCCAACCCAAATCATTCCATGCTTCCATGATCCATATTTATTTTAAAGCTTCAACATCTTTGAAAATTCAAACCACTCATCTACTGACCAGGAATTCACAAAACCAGATGCAAATCCCACATTGAAGGCAATAATATCCAGATTGCTTCATCCCTTTGAAAATAATATCCCTGGAAAAGCCAGGAATCCAACTGTATCAACACTGACAGCACTTTGCCTGCAACCAAGAATAAACAGGTTCTGGAAACCTGAGCAAGTCTCCCGAGTTAAAAACAGCCTCATTCCATGGACCAAACTCTCAGGGAGCCTCTGCTCACAAAACTCTTGGAACAATTTTATCCGGAAACAATTATTGAATTACTCTCCACAGAAATGCTATCAAGAGTGATATAAAAAATAAAATAATCCTGTTGATAACTGTAGCCCCAGCCATGTCACATCTCGGGGGGGGATAAAAATTAGAGTTACATAATTTAATGACATTTCAGCAGTGTAAAACCAAAACATGGGATTTAGTTTTATAAATATAAGGACAGTCAAACTTCGAGATGTTGTTATTAAAAACTTATCTGTGAGTTATTCAGACTCCTTACTAAACTCACTGCCATTATGAGCAAATAAAGGATATTAAAAAAAATATGAGAAATCAGAGTTGATGTCTCCAAGAGGAAAATAAATAGGAACTAAGTTCTCATAAGTTCTCACTCCCTGCACTGGGGTATGAGCAGAGCAGCAGCATCCATGTCATTCCATAAATACTCTCCCAGAGACGCAATCCAGGACACACAGAAATAAATCCTCAGCACTAAAAGCAGACCAAAAGTGGAATTTTATGTTTCCATTCAACAGAGAAAGCTCAAGTGATCTCCCAGCTCCAGTAAAAAAGCAAACAGCCCCTGTTCCTTCCCACTCCCTGCTCCCTGTGCCATCCATGCCGGCGGGCAAGGATAACCGGGATGTGTCCTGCTCTGCGTTTGGGCTTGGTCTGGGACAGGAGCCTCGGGAAGGGAACACGTGAGTAACTCCAGGAGGGAAAACACACCAGGAATGAAGGACTTGGACACGGCACATTTTGCTGGCACACACCAGGCTGCTCCCACACGGACACCAGAGGGATCCCAGGGAGGCACCTTCAGCCCTGGGGGCACTTCTGGGACCCTCAGACAGGAGAGACACAGAGGGGCTGGAGTGTGTGAAGGGAAGGGAACGGAGCTGGGGAAGGGGCTGGAGCAGCAGGAGCAGCTGAGGGAGCTGGGGGGGCTCAGCCTGGAGAAAAGGAGGCTCAGGGGGGACCTTCTGGCTCTGCAAATCCCTGACAGGAGGGGGGAGCCAGGGGGGGTCGGGCTCTGCTCCCAGGGAACAAGGGACAGGAGGAGAGGGAACAGCCTCAAGCTGTGCCAGGGGAGGGTCAGGTTGGATATTGGGAAGATTTTCTCCCTGGAAAGGGTGGTCAGGCCTTGGCAGGGGCTCCCCATCCCTGGAGGTGTCCAAGGACTGGATGTGGCACTGAGTGCTCTGGGCTGGGGGACAAGGTGGAATCGGGCACAGCTTGGCCTCGAAGATCCTGGAAGTCTTTTCCAACCTGAATGATTCCCTGACTGTGTCCCTGCCCATTAGCCCTCCTTTAACTGGGATCAGTGCTGTCCCTGTGCCGGGGGTGGGGGGGTCGGGCTCTGCTCCCAGGGAACAAAGGACAGGAGGAGAGGGGATGGCCTCAAGCTGTGCCAGCTGAAGTCTAAGTTGGATATTGAATACAATTCCTTCCTGGAAAGGGTTGTCCAGCCCTGGCACAGCTGCCCAGGGCAGTGGTGGAGTCCCCATTCCTGGAGGGATTTAAAATCCCCGTGGATGTGGCATTTGGGGCCATGGGTCAGTGGTGGCCTTGGCAGTGCTGGGGAACGGTTGGACTCAATAACCTTCAAGGGCTTTCCCCCCAAAAAATGATTCCATGATAATTTTATCACTCAGATGCAGAAATCAGACACCAGAAAGTATGGAAAGGCATCAATTCCCATTTTTCCTTGCTGATTGGGTAATACAGGTCGCTGCTCCACAAGAAGCGCTTCCACCCTCCCCGGGTGTTCCATCTCCTACTCTGCAAGGAGCAGCTGCTGCACCCTAAGAAAACAAAACTCAGGCCCTTTACTACAATCCTCACAAGGTCCTAAACTACAACGTTGACTTTAAAACCTCCAGGGTAGAGAAAACAACAGCAAGGATCTGTTTACAAAATTCAGATTTTAAACGTGCACACACACACTCCTGTGCACTTACACCAAGTATTTCGGGCTTGATTCAAACTCCACTTGTTCACAACACAGATTTTTCCCTCACAAAAAAAAAATGAAGCAAGGACAAGGATGGAGAGCTCACAGAAAAATTGCTTCTAAGGGAAATATTCTATGTAAAAGGATTCTGCCTATTCAGTTACTCCCCGCTGTTTCTGGGAGGACCTGAAAAGCAGAAAAACTGACACAGGAAAATCAGACAGCACTCGATGGTATCTCCTGGGTGAAAAAACCCAACCTGATATTGGAAATTACCAGAAAACTCCACGTGTTTTTAATTGGTAACACGACTAAAACTAGCAGGGTCTATTTTTCAAATACAAATTAGTACACGCTGAGAAAATTCCTGCAGAGACAGGAACTGCACAAGCAGGCAAA